AGGTCGTGTCCGGAGTCCCGAAACACGTCAGGAATAGGACTCAGGCGTCAAGGCATTTAACTCCTAGCCCTCTACTTAATTGTTCCACGTTTCTCAAACCCAGTGACCCCACTCAAGCCACTTGGCCTCTGCCAAGTCCTACCCTTGCCAGGAACACCCACTCCCTTCGTGTGGCCAATTCTTGAACGTCAGTCAGGGAGCAGCTTGGTCGCCACCTCCTCCAGGAAGCTTTCCTCGACTTGCAGAAAAAGTTACTATTTGAATGAAGATGAATGCAGCTTGTAGAATATATCTGTCGCCCCAGAAAGTTCTTTCATGATCCTTTCTAGTCAACACCTCCCCCGCCCAACCCCAAAGCGGTCACGTACTGTTTTCTGTTACTATAGTATAGTTTTTCCGTTTCTAAAATTTCATATAAATGAAACTACATAGCGTGAGGGTATAGCTCTGTGGTAAAGCACGTGCTTAGGATGCACAAGGTCCTGGGTTCAATCCCCAATGCCTCCATTAAAATAAAAAAGTAAATACATAAACCGGATTATCTCCCCCCAAAGCGAAAACAAAAACAAACAAAAAAAAAAACCAACATAGCATGTGCTCTTTTGTGTCTGCCTTCGTTCACTCTGTACAATTCTTCTGAGATTCATTGATGTTGTATATAACGGTTGTCCACTCCTTTTCATTGCTGAGGGGTATTCCACTGTATGGGTGTATCACATTTTCCTGTTGATGGACATCTGGCTGGTTCCCAGGTTAACGCAGTTACAAATAAAGTGGCTATGAGCTGTCATGTACAAGTCTTTCTGTGGACATAAACTTTCACTTTTCTTGGGTAAACCTAGGAGCACATGACTGGGTTCTCTGTTAGGTGTATGTTTATAAGAAACTGCTAAAAATGTCTCCTAGTGTGTTCTACCATTTTGCATTTCTATCAGTGATGCTTGAGAGTTCGAGGCTCCATATCCCCTCCAGCCCTTCATAAAATCAGTCTTTAATTTTAATCATTCTTGTAGGGATGAAGAGATGATCTCATGCTTGTCATTTGCATTGCCCCAACCATTAATGTTGTCCAGTATCTTTTCCCGTGTGCTTACTGGCCCTTTGTATAACTTTCGTCAAGTCATCTGCTCAAGTCTTTTGTGTATTTTTTACACTGTGTTGTTTTCTTATTTACAAATTATAAACATTCTTTTTGTTTGTTTGTTTTGGGGGGTAATTGTTTATTTATTTATTTTTAATGGAGGTACTGGGGATTGAACCTCCATGCATGCTAGGCACACACTCTACCACTGAGCTATACCCTCTCACCGTAAATGTTCTTTATAGATTCTGGATACAGGTCTCTGTCAGGAAGATCACCTTGAAATATTTCTCCCAGTCTGTGGTCTGTCTTTTCACTTTCTTAACGTTGTCTGTTGAAAAGCAGAGATTTTTCATTTGAATGAATTCCCATGAATTACCTGAGCCTACACCTTGACCCCTACCTACACAGTATGTTCTATGGATCCTGAATCTTATTTTTTTTCTTTTCTATTGTTCCAAATGTTTCAATAGGTTTTGATTTTTTATTTTTTCTCTGATGTCCAAGTATTCTGACTCAATCAATTACATTTGCTCTGTGTTGCTATTAAGAATGAAAAGTTATGACAAACTCTCTCTACCACACTAAGGAAGAATCTAATGTTGTTGAAAAGGAGACGGTATTGGACAGGGATACACGAATATAGGGTACAGGTGAGGTCTGAACTCGAGGCAAAAGTGGCGTCACCCATGTCAAGTTCTGTCCTTTCCAAGATGGCAGCCACTTGGAACAACTGAGTGATGGACTGTGGCAAGTCTGAACTGAGATGTGCTCTGACTGTAAAACACACACTAGATTCTTAAGACTTCATATACAAAAGAAATGTGTAATATCTCATTAATATGTTTTATTTATTTATTTATTTTAGTGGAGTTACTGAGGATTGAACCCAGGACCTTGTGAATTTCAGGCATGTGCTTTACCACTGAGCCATAGCCCTACCTCAATATGTTTTACATTGATTCCATGTTGAAATGATTCTATTTCGGAGAAATGGGATAAATAAAAAATATTGCTAAAATTAATTTACCTGTTACTTGTATGACTCATATTTCTGTTGGCCTGAGCTGCACTAGGTCACAGACCACAGGATGGACAAGGTCACTGGGGAGCTGGTGGGATTAGAAGTGTGGTTAGAGACCTGGGTCAAATCGGAGATTCAGGTGTCTGTGAGCTGCGATGGTAGAAGCTTAAATCTCTCATGAAACTGGAACCCGATCCTTCCTTCAACTGAGAATTTGAGCAACACATCAAAGTGGGATTAGCCCCTGTGCCCTTGTCCCCAGCATAAATGACAGATGCTTGCATGTCAGGTGATAGTTGCTTCAACTACTCATGGAGTGGGAAGAATTGTAAAGATCTCTGCCCACTTGTGTTACATACACCAAGGAATAGGTTGAGTTATATGACAAAGAAGATGGATAGCATTTTAAAATATTTTCTTAATTAGGTGACCTTATATGGCAAGGGTGAAGGGATTTTTCCAGATGTCCTTAAGGCTTCAAATCAGTTAATTTTTTAAAAATTGAAGTAGAGTTGATTGACAGTGTTTCAGGTGTACAGCAAAGTGATTCAGTTATATATATTCTTTTTCAGATTCTTGTCCATTGTAGGTTATTACAAGATACTGAGTATAGTTCCCTCAGCTTATCCCTCTCCCAACTTACCCCTCTCTCACTTTTCCCCTTTGGTAACCATATGTTTGTTTTCTTTATCTGTGAGTCTATTTCTGTTTTGTAAATAAGTTCATTTGCTTTGTTTTTTTAGATTCTACATATGAGTGATAGCATATATGTGTCTTTCTCTGACTTACTTCACTTCGTGTGATCATCTCTATGTCCATCCATGTTGCTGCAAATGGAATTATTTCATTCTTTTCTATGGCTGAGTAATATTAACATTCCATTGTGTGTGTGTGTGTGTGTATTTATGTATGTGTGTGTATATGTATGTATGTATATGTGTGTGTATATGTGTGTGTGTATCACATCTTCTTTATCCAGTCATCTGTCAGTGGACACTGGGGTTGTTTCCATGTCTTGGCTATTGTAAACAGTGCTGCTATGAACATTAGGGTGCAAGTATCTTTTCAAATTAGTCTTCATCTTTTCCAGATATGTGCCCAGGAGTGGGATTGCTGGATCATATGGTAATTATCAAATAGGTTAATTTTAAATTAATCAAAGAGATTTTTTTCCCCTCCTGGGTAAGCCTGACTGAATCAGGTGGAAACTCTTTAAAGGGGGAGGGGAGACCTCTGAGGCCACAGTGATTCTCCTGCTAAAACTACAGGCACTGGGAAGAGGCCCTCTGAACCTCAGATGAGACCAAAGCTGAAACCTTGATGGCAGCAGGTCACACCCTGAGCCGAGCACCCCCTCAGCTGCACCCACATCCCTGACCCATGGAAACCGAGATGAATAAATGTGAATCATTGTATGCCGCTATATTTGTATGATTTCTCATACAGCCATATCTAATCCACCTCAAAATCCTGCTCTACTTAGACACTGTGCTTATTAGACCCACCCAAGGTGTTTTTAATTAATGTGTTAATGAGCAGGCATGCCTATTATTAGACCACTAATGTTTTTACATGTATTTTTTATTTCACATTTTTAGAGGGAGGGGGGAGATTAGGTTTATTTATTTAATAGAGGTACTGGGTACTAAACTCAGGACCTCGTGGATGCCAGGCATGAGCTCTACGACTGAGCTATACCCTCCCCACCATTACTGTTATAATCAGACCCCAAGCACCCAAAAAGCTATTTCCATTAAATTAAATCAAACCAAACCAAACCAAACCATTTGTACCTTTTGATCCAAAAGGCCACCATTCCTGGGAGGAACCTGGGTTTCCTCTAAATAGTCCAACCAGAGATGAACAATGTATATACACTCACAGTAATATACAAATACAAGGTGTTACAAAATAGGGTAAGGAAATCCCCTATGGGTGACCAGAAGGGTTATTGCACCCAGGATGATCCAGGGGCCCCAGTCCTGAGCCCCTTTCCTCCTTTAACTTCTGCTGCCTCCCTAAGCCTGCTGACATTCTTTCTGGCTTTCTCAATTCCAAGCCAGCCCAGATTGTGTCCAAAGCCTTTTTCCTCCACCTATGCAGCTCTGGAAAGAAATCTTTACTGAGCCCCGATCTTTAAGGTAATGAAAGACAGTTAAGTTGTGTAACCTTTAGGCTCCAAAATTCTAAACTGTGAAACTTCTGGAATGGATGGCTAGAGTCAGGACAATTTACAGCTCTCCAGATACAAAAGTGATAGAGCAAGTGACATACCACTAATTTTTTTTTAATTGACGTATAGTCAGTTTACAATGTTGCATCAATTTCTGGTGTACAGCATAATGTTTCAGTCATACATATACATACATATATTTGTTTTCATATTTTTTCATTATAGGTTGCTACAAGATACTGAATATAGTTCCCTGTGCTGCACAGAAGAAACTTGTTGTTTATCTATTTTATATATAGTATTTAGTATCTGCAAATCTTGAACTCCCAATTTATCCTTTCCCACCAGCTCTCCCTCCTGGTAACCACAACTATGAGTTTGTTTTCTATCTCTTCTAAGTTCTTTCTTCTAAGTTCATTTGTGTCTTTGTTTTTTTTTTTAAGATTCCATATATGAATGATATCATATGGTATTTTTCTCTTTCTGGCTTACTTCACTTAGAATGATGATCTCCAGGTCCATCCACATTACTGCAAATGACATTTTTCTTTTTATGGCTAAGTAGTACTCCACTGTATAAATATACCACAACTTCTTTATCCAGTCATCTGTCCATGGACATTTAGGTTGTTTCCATGTCTTGGCTATTGTAAATAGTGCTGCTATGAACAATGGGGTGCAAGTATCTTTTTGAATTAGAGTTCCTTCTGGATGTATGCCCAGGAGTGGGATTGCTGGATCATATGGTAAGTCTACCTATTGGAATCTCCATATTGTTTTCCATAATGGCCGCAATATCCCACTAATTTTTATATGAACACCGCAGACTGTATTTCCACTGACACTCAAGTCTTGTTATTTGTGACAGCTAGGTTCTACAAAGTCACTGCAAACACTGAATTGGTGAACACTGAGCCATTGTTCCCTGCAGAGATACAAGGTGAGGTTCTCATGGGCTTCTTGTCACACTTTTGTCAACCCATGGAAATATCTCGCTCTATGTGTGTTTTCTGTTTAGAGACACACTAGGTAGTATACAGTTGATTTATTCACCTTGATCTCGCAGCCAACATCACTCTAACAAATATTACCTGCAACAAAGCTGACCTAACAGGGGCCAATCACAGCCTTCTTGCACCTAGGAATGCTAGCCAGCACTTCAGTGCTATGCTTTGGGGCCTTTTAAAACAGCGAAATCACCCTAAAAAGCATAGGAATGTGGAAAATGTGGCACTAAGCAGGTTGCGGGAAGAACAGCGTGAGAGCTGAAAAAAGAAGGCAGCGTCACCTTGTCTAACCTGAGCTGAAACGTGCACATTAGGCGAGTCAGTTCCTTGGCTGCTCTGAGCATGCGCAAGCCTCCCAAACCTGGGAAGGCGGCTATTAACTGGAAGGCAACAAAGACATTTTAGTAAGTAGGCGAACTCAAAAATACAGAATCCGCAAACAATGAGGCTCGACTGTGCTTGACTTCCTTTGTAATCCTGTACAGTTCATTTCATGCACTTACAAATGTAACTCTGCAAAGGGGATTAGAGCCCCAAAAATGTGACAAGTCTCTGGCCAACAGATAGCAGAGGAGAAATCAGCAAGGGAAAAAAAAAGGGAGGGGGCTCAGAGGAGCAGTTGGGGGAAAAAAGGAGAAGAGAGTGGTGTTCTGGATGCCCCATGAAGGAAGATCATATAGCTTTCTTCTGAAAATAGCTGGAAAGACTCCATGACCATCAATACAGGATTAGCTGGAATAAATAAATCATGCAGTGGGGGAGGTATAGCTCAGTGGTGGAGTGCATGCCTAGCATGCACAAGGTCTTGGGTTCAATTGCCAATACCTCTGTTTAAAAAAATAAACAAATAAATAAACCTAAAATTACCTCCCCAGCATTAAGAAAAAAAAAGAAATCATGCAATAGGGGGGAAACGTAATTAGCTGGAATCATATTTACAGACATCCTCAAATAGGCTGTATGTTCAGGTGACAGGTACTTGTAGGTAGTCTGAATAGATATTTCTAGAATGAATGAATTGGCTCTGTCCTTAATTTATAAACCAGACAGCGCTTTGAACCAAATCTCCTTTACTTAGAACTTTAGTTCTTGAGTGAAAGGACCAACAATTAAATACTTGAAAACGTTTTTAATATGAAAACACTGTAAATGATTTTCTTTTGGCAAAAACGGGGAGGGTAGCCACCACCCCAGAGCCCTGAGTGGATTAGGAAAGTTTGGAAAAGCACACACAGAGTGCAGGGACATGAGGTCCGATCCTGGAGCAGCTTTGGAGGAGGAGCTCAGTCCAAGGGTAAGTTCAAGTCCACAGGTGATGCTGCCAGGATGCCCTCCTGGAGGGAAAAGTGGCAGAGACCAGTGAGTGGAGAGGTGTCTGCCACTCACAGAGGTGTCCACATCAGCCCAGTGAAAGCTGAGATGGGGAAGGGGACAGAGACCTAGAGAGAGGCAGATAGGGGTGAGGGGTGAGTGATAGAGACCCCAGGAAATCATCAGAGACCCGGGGTGGATAGGGACAGAGTCCAGGGGTGGGTGGGTGGGAGGGACAGAGGCTCAGAGAAGGGAAACAAACAGAATCTTAGAGCTTTAATGATTAAGAGCCCTGGCTCTGTGTCAAAGTCCTAATTCCAACCCCCCCATCCAGCGTGAGGGACTTTCCCTCTGGGACTCCTTAAAACTGGGATAATAACCAAATCCCAGAAGGTTGTTGTGGGGTTTAAATGGGACCATTCCACTCAAGTCCTTGGCTGAGTACCTGGCCAAGTTTACCTATTATCATTCCTTACAAAAGAAAATGATTTGACAAATAAACCAGCTTCTGCGCTGAGTTCCAGACACTTATAACTGATATCCTGACATCATCTTTCTTTGAGGTCTGAAGGGCCTGTCTCCCTTAACTAGACCATCTCCAGTCATCTCTGATTCCTCCCCAAACCTGCTCCCCACCTTCCCCTCCACTCTGCTCTTCCTGGTCTCAGGGGACATTAGATGGCATCATCCTTGACTCCTTCCTGTCTTCTATTCAGTCTCCACGTCCACTCCATGAGCAAAGTCCGTCAGGTCGACCTCCAAGTGAAATCCAGAATTCTCCACTACCCCGACCCTGGTCTGTCCCACCCTCATCTCCTCCCTGGACCAGCACAGTCTCCTCCTCCGGGCTCCCTAATTCCGCCCTCGCCCCCAACAGTATTCCCCAAGCGGCCGCCAGGGGGCGTCTGTGACCACCTAAGTCAGCTCCCGCATCTACTCAAGCCCTTCTCACTCAGAGCTCACTGAAACTCCAAGTTCTTACCTTGATCACAAGGCGTAAAGCCTTGATCTGGCCGCTCCTCCTGTTTTCATCTCCACCCACCCCTCACTCACCCTGCTCCAGCCCTCCTGGCCACCTCTCTGCTCCTCAAACACACCTAGCCAGCTCCCGCCAGTCTGTGAAGCAATGCTTACATTCTGACAGCCTGGCAGTGAGGACGCAGGTAAGTGAGATGGTGTCCACTGCACGAGGGGAGACTCGTGTTCAGGGAGACGGAGATAGTTGCCAAGATCACACAGCCAGTACACTGGAGCCCAATCGAGCTCTAAGCACAGCACCGGATTTAAAACAGTCAGCAAGCAAGGTAAGCCTCCCTAGTCCTTGCGGGAGAAGACAACACACAGAAAGAGATAATACGTAAAACAAGTCAATTCTACCCTGTGTTAGAAGGTGCCTGTTGGAAGGTGCAGAGTGCTGTGGAAGGAAGTAAAGCGGCAAAAAGGGAAGGAAAATGGCTGGGAGGGAGTGGAAGTGGCTGCGATTTTAAATTGGGATCAGGGAAGGTCTCACTGCGGGTGATATCTGAGCGGAGGAGTGGAGGAAGAGAGGCAGGAGTCTAGGGGGAAAAGGTATTCCGGCAGGCAGCGCTGCAGTCACTAGATAATCACACACAAAAATGCCTCTGTGGTGCCAACTACTTATGAGGATGATCCCATTTTAATCCTCACAATAACCCTTAGAGGTAGGTACTACAATTCTCCCCACTTTACAGATGAGGAACCTTGTTTTCCACTCATAACAGTTAATGTATACCAGAGTAGATTAAGCTGGGCAGAGGGGCCTGCACTGATCACTGCAGTGCCTGGTGTACAGTAGGTGCTCAGTAAACACAGAACGGATGAATGGTGGAGCTGGGAGAACACCTGTGATGTCTGGAAGGAGCCCTAAGAGCGACTCCCCCAGCCTCCCCAGCCCAAGACACACCCCTACAATGAAAATTAGGTAAAGAGAAGTCCAGAGAGGCTTTGGCGGCTCACCCAGCCCCCGTGGGCCTGGATCCAGGGCGCGAAGCTGTGCACGTGCTCTACACTGAGTCCGGTCAGGGTGCCCCCCAGCCCGGCCACGCGCCGGCTCAGCTCCATGGCCAAGGCCAGGCGGGCCAGGGGCTCCGGGGAAGGCGGCGGGGGCCCGGGGCACGGCAACGAGGGGCGTGCTTGGCTTGGGCGAGGGCTGGCCTCACGGCTAGAGAAGAGCTCCACTAGGCGGCTGAAGGAGCCGGCGGAGAGGCGGGCCAGCTTGCGCCGCAGGGCCGGGTCAGAGGCCAGCTGTAGGGCAGAATAGGGGAAGAGGCAGGGGTCTGACTCAGTCACACCCTGGTAGCCAGCCAATAAGAAACCGGGAGGCGTGGCCACAAGCGACTTCTATTTATAACTGGCATGCTAAGCCACGCCCCTACCCAGCAGATCAGCCAATCACAAACCAGATTGGTTTTCGGCCCACCTACTATAGATGGCCTAGAACCAGAGAAGCCAAGCCACGCCCCTACCGAGGCCTCGACAGCCAATCAGGGCCAAGCCCTACTTCAGCTGTGTTCTGTGATGCCACGCCCCTGCGCGCTTCCCCCAGAGGCCAAGCTAGTATCTACAAGCAACCTTACCATCTACCCTATAATTAATATTACAGAACCATACACTTTGCCCAAGCTCCTGAGCCAACCAGATTCCAGGACAGAGTCACAAGCCACACTCCCTCCGGCAGTCCATTTCCCCTACATTCTAACCCATGCCCCTATATAGTCAATCAGAGCTTCAGATTTTAGACAGCAGTTTCCAAACTACCCCTTCTCACTACAGTACATTTCTTTCCTCAACTGGTCCCAGTCTCTTTCCTAGAACATGGTTCTTATGACCACACCCTCTGCCTTTAGGCCACGCCCCTCGAACGATTAATGATAGCCACTAATTTAAGGTTTACCTCTGTCACTCAGAGGTACCCTTCACTGAAGCCTTGCCCCCACCCTCTCCCCACCTGATCATCTAATGAGAATGCAGAGCCAGTTTCAGGTCCCAGTGCAAACTATGCCGCAATTCCAATCCAAGCTAAGGGATGGCAGGCGGTGGGGGCGGGGCGGGGAAGCAGGGTGTAGTTTAGTGGTTGGAGTACACGATTAGCATGCACGAAACGAGGTCATGGGTTCAACTAAATAAATAAACCTAATTACCTCCCCCCAAAACAAAAACAAACAAACAAAAAACAAGCTAAGGGATGAAACAGACTGCCCATCACCTTCTGGTTGATGACTTCTGCCTCCTCCTCCAGCAAGGCCACCAGCTTCCGCAGCAGGGCTTCCTTCTCTGTGGGTGGTGGACCCTGTAATTCTGGGGGGAGGGGAGCAGACAAGAATTTGGTCTGGGGCAGAACCCTGGCAACCCTTCTACTCTTATCCTTCTTCAGGGCCCCTTGGCACCTCACCCGGGCTAGGTGGGGATTTCAGTTGCTCTTGGACCAGCTGTTCCAGTCGCTGGGCCACGAGGGCATAGAAGTCTGGAGTAGTTGGACCTGGGGTGAAAAGAGCCAATGAGGGGTGTTTCGGACATCAGGAACTTATGGATTCTCTCCTCCCAACCACCTTGCCAGAAATGAGGTAAACTGAGGCCCAGTGAGCAAAGTTGGTAAAAAAAAAAAAAACCCTTGTACTTTCTCCCCAGTTGGACTTAGAATGTTAAGAGCTGAACTGGACCTCGAAGATTATCCCATCCAAGGAAGGCAAACACATAGCACTCCAGCTATTACCACTCTATCCCTTGCCCATTTCAGGCAACAACTCATCACAGAACTCTTGACCCCAGCTGTGAAATCCTCATCAAGCTAATACTCTCAGTAGGCATTACTAGTGAATCCAGTCTCACATATGATTATCAGCCTGCTGATCATTCTTGATCAAGTCCGATGAACTACCCCCACACCAATTCCTACTTGGCTACTGGAGAAAAGGATTCAGGTAAGCAAAACAGCCAAGAAATTGTGACCGAAAATCAGGTCTCCTGCCTCTCTGGTGGATACAAAAATCCTACACGTATGGGACGAGAAAGAGAACAAATAGAAAGGAACCACAGGCCCTCCTGAAGCCAGCTCACAGAAATGACAGACAGCAATCTAACTGGGGGTTGGGGGTGAGGGTAGGTGCTTAGCTGAGTGATCTTTAACTAGTTCCTTATCCTCTCTATGCTTTAAGAAAAAGTTTCTGTCACAGCAAAAAAAAAAAAAGAAAAGTGACGATGAATATATATATGTTCGTGTATAACTGAAAAATTGTGCTCTACACTGGAATTTGACACAACATTGTAAAATGACTATAACTCAATAAAAAAACGTTTTAAAAAAAGAAAAAAGAAAAAGCTCTGGCCCTGCCAGTTCTTGAGTGATCAAGGGCAATTTCTTACCAGGCTCTGAACCATAGCAGGGCCGGAGGGGCAGGGAGCAGGGCCGAGGGGACTCAGGGGGAACTGCTCCACGCCCCAGGGAGCAGGGAAGACATCTTCGAAGGCGGCTCAGGAAATCTGTTGGCTCCTCCTGGGTAGGGCTCCTGGGGAAGGGGACCTCAGAGAGTGAAGACAGAGGCCCTTTGCAAGCAGTCCCCCTTTGTCCTCCCACTGAGGGCCTACTAAAGACAAGGAACAGAGCCAGATACAAAGAAGGGGGAAAGGAGACAGACTGAGACCAGGAGCAAGAGTTGGAGAGGGGCCCACTTCAAATGCAGTTCCCTGAGGGAGGAGGGCAACTCCTCTTACCTGGGTGGTGTCGGAATGGGAGACCCAGCAGCCTCACCCCGCCTAAGGAAGGCAGCTAGGACCCTCAGCGTGTCCTCCCGGAGCCCCAGCTCTTCCGAGCCTGCCATGGGGCCACCTGTGAGAAAGGGAGCTGGGGGATGGACCCCAGGGTTCAGAGGGAAGTGGAGGCTTGGGGCCCAAACTCCTAGTCCTTGAATGAGGAAGGGGCCAGGACTTGTGAATCCCCAAAGGAGGAAGGGGCTGAGGGTCTGGATTCCCAGGTCCTTTACGGGAGCTGGGGTCTGGAGATCCAGACGTTTGAGTCCCCAGAGGGAGAAGAGGAATAAGCCGAAGACACCTTGATCCTGGAAAAAGAGATTGGGGATCCAGATTCTTGGGCCTAAGGGAGGAGGGGACTAGGGCCCTGGATTCTTGAGTTTTCGGAGAAAGGGGTTGGGGGTCTGAACTCTTGAATCTAAGACAGAGGGGACTGGGGCCTCAGATCTCTGAGTCCCCGAGGGAGAAAGGGGGTTGGGGTTCCGACTTCTCTATTCTGAAGGTATATGCCAAAATACTCAGGTCGGTAGAGGATCGGAAACTACCAATCCCAGCAGGCTTCATAGCAAACATCCCCCTCCGTCCGTTACTTGTTCGCCGCGTAGCCTGCTGGGAAGTGTAGTTCCACTCTCTGACTCAGGCTGGACGTTGGGGGACCCGCGACGCTTTGATGTTGCAGAAGAGGTACTGGGTTGCCGGTTCCTGGATCTTGGCCCCCTCTTCTTCCCTCCTCACCTAGCCCTCGCTAATGTGCTGCTCACCTGGTCCCAGTCGCCGCTGCCGCCTCCTTCTCCTCTGGATTTGTATAAACTTTCCTTTCTCAGTTGAACTTTCCCGCGCCTGCGCACTGGGCTGGGTTGGTGACGGCCCAAAGGTTGAGGGCGGAGCACTGGTTCCCGCCTTATTTGCATGTGACGTTCCCAGCATGCCTGTAGTAGGAAGGCCTAAAAAAGGCATAGGGGTGGCGGGACACCCGGGCTCACGGTACCGCCTCTTTGGCTCTGGGTGCAAACATCCAAACGACGATAAAGTTGCTTCTATTTCAAGAAATCGATAGAAAAGGAAGCTAAAGCTCAGCTGACGGGAAGTGGGTTGTTCAGCTACGAGTTCGAGAGCTACGGGACCCTAAAGACAGGAGTGCGCATCCCGACCAACTACATAGGTAACACGGAAGAGCTGGGGAGTGAGGAACCGGAGAAAGGATGGGTCTACCCTGACAGTGGAGATGGGGGGTTGTATACTCTGGAGAAAGTGAAGCAAGAAGGGGAAAACGTGAAGCAATGGCTGGCGCCGAGGTCGGTTGTTTTTAAAAAAAATGCTTAGAAAAAGTAGCGGGAGGAGGGGAGAAGTCTGCACTGGGGGCACTGGGGGCACTGGGGGCACTGGGGGCACTGGGGGATCTAGGGGAGAGAGGGATGGACTCTGCGAATGGAAGGCAGTCCACTCTAGGAAGTGGGATTGTGCCCTGGAGAAAGGAGGCTGTTTAGAAGGAATTGTGGATGGAGGGGATCTTCTGGGAGGAGGTTGAGAAGGTGGAAGGAGGTCTACGCGGGTGTAAGAGCGGGAGGTAGAGATCTACACGTCATTAGCGTCTGCAGGGCAATAACTAGAGGGCTCTATCTTGGAAGTGGGAGTACCTGCATTGGGTGAAGTGGGGGGAGGGAGGGGCTTTCAATGGAAGAGGGAAGGTCTACACTGGAGGAATGGGGTTTGGGGGTAGAGGTAGATGCACAGAAACTGGGGAAAGGGAGGTGTCTAAAGTGGATTTGGGAGGGAGTCCTCGCTCTATTAGGGACTCTCTTCGGGAGATGGGAGGTCTGCTGTTTGTACCCCAGGAAAATATAAGTGAAGGACCAGCGCCGTGGCCCGGGGAAGGGAGATCTGGGTGCGGAACCTTCCGACCGAGTGGGCTTGGAAGGCCGTCTGTACCCAGGAACTGCCCTCTGCGCGCAGGCCGGACCATGGGAACCCAAAAACCTCGGATCCTGCCCTGGCTGGTATCGCAACTGGACCACGGGCAACTGGAGGGCGTGGCCTGGCTCGACGAGAGCCGCACGCGTTTCCGCATCCCTTGGAAGCATGGCTTGCGGCAGGATGCCCAGCAGGAAGACTTCGGGATTTTCCAGGTGCGTGAGCGCCCAGAGGGGTGGACTCCGAGGGGGAGGGGCCGAAAAGGCGGGATTAGCACTCGTGGAGCAGGCTCGAACTTACTCTGGCGGTGGAGGTGAGTGGGGTTAGAAGGCGAAGGGGCAAAGCTTGTAGGATCGGCGAACTGGAGAAGTCAAGATCGGAGCCGCCAGGTTCCGGAAATAGAACCGGGAAAGTGAAAGAAACGCATCCTTGGGGGTTCGAAGCTCGCCGGGTGGAGCTCTTGGGGTTGTTAAATTCCGAGGGCGGGTCTTGGAATACAGAGGCGAGATTGGGCCCTGAAGCTTAGGTTACTTACCACCAAATTAGGACACACCTGTGATGGTAAACCGAGTTAGAGTGCGAGGGGGCGGGGTTATTAGGGTGTCTTGGGGCAGGCTGGTGACACAGTTAGACACCCATTAGGACCTGGAAGGCTGGCTTAGAAAGCAAATGGTTTTAAGTGTGGAGGTGGGGGGCTTGGGGCGCAGAGAATCCGAGAGTTTGGGGATGGAACCTTGCCAGGTTAGAGCTTGCCGGATGAGAGGACCGTGTTAGGATGAGGGGAGGCAGGATTAGGACCCGTGAGGCAGGATCTAAGTTATGCTACCCACTAACTTGGTACCACCGGTCCCCCAGGCCTGGGCCGAGGCCAGTGGTGCCTACACTCCTGGAAAGGATAAGCCCGACCTGCCCACCTGGAAGAGGAATTTCCGGTCCGCCCTGAACCGTAAGGAAGTGCTTCGTTTAGCGGATGACCGGAGCAAGGACCCCCACGACCCGCATAAAATCTATGAGTTTGTGACCTCAGGTGTGCTGGAAGTGAGGCTTCACCTGGCGGGATGGGATTTCCAGCGTCCCAAGCGCCCCTACTGCACTCACTACCTTTCTCGACAGGAATTGGGGACTTTGTTGAGCCAGACACCTCTCTAGACACCAACAGCAGATCCAGTACCTCTGATACCCAGGTAGGAATGCGCCCTGACCATCCTCTTCTCAGTCTCTCTGTCTCCTCCCCTCTTTACATCTTCTCGGGCCCATTCAGGCCTCATCTTCTTCCCCTGGTCCATCACCCCAGGCTACATCCTCTCCCCTGCAGTCTGTCCCCAATGTGACCTAGTGCTGACTCTGTCCCTCCCCTGCTCACAGCCCTCCCATAGCTTCCCAGCGTCCCCAGGAGAAAACTCAGAGCTTTCACCAGGCATTCAAGGTCCTAACCCACATTTCTGGGATTTCAGAGCTTTCCTCCCTGTGCAGGGTACCCTCACCCTCTTGGGAACTCAACCTCCCGCTCCTTGATCTTACTGATGTCTGAGGAAAAGTTCCCTCTGAAATTCGACCCAGCCTTCTCTGCCCAGGTCTTGCTTACACAAAACCAGATCCGTGGGCTGGAATTAGCTGTTCCCCTCGGGCTACTGTAGTGTCAAGCATATTTCCAAGCATATATTTTACCTGTCTGTGCCTGTGGCCCTCTCTCTCTTGGCTACAAGCCCCTTCAGGGCAAAGCTCAGGTCTGACTGCTCTCTGGGTCCCTCCATTGCTAAGCACAAGACCTGGTCCATGTGAAGTCTCCAAAAAATGCTGTAGAAATGACTCCATTTGTTTTTGGTTTTTTTTTTGACTCTCCAGGAAGACAGTCTGGAGAAGTTACTGAGTAGTGTGGACTTGGCCCCAGATGGAGTTCCCTCAGGCCTGACTATGGCCCCTGCTCACCCGCCTCAGCTCTTGCTGAGCCCCACCTTCGACATCCCTGCTCCTTGCCCAAATTCTGGACTCCTTGAAAACCCCCTGAAGCACTTGTTGGTAAGCGAGGAAGGTGAGTGCCAGCCGTGGGATGGGAGGGGCTGGGGCTGGGGCCAGGGCCACGAGCCCCCTGACACCCTGTCTCTCTCTCTCCCCCTTCATGTTGCTGCTGCTCAGACTGGGAGTTCGAGGTGACCGCCTTCTACCGGGGCTGCCAAGTCTTCCAGCAGACTATCTTCTGCCAGGGGGGTCTGCGGCTGGTGGGATCAGAAACAGGGGACAGGACACTGCCTGGGCAGCCAATAAGACTGCCAGACCCTGCAGTGTCCCTGACAGACAGGGGTGTGATAGACTATGTGAGGCGTGTACTGAGCTGCCTGGGTGGGGGACTGGCTCTGGGGAGGGCAGGGCAGTGGCTCTGGGCCCAGAGGCTGGGACACTGCCATGTGTACTGGGCCGTGGGCGAGGAACTCCTCCCCGACAGTGGTCACAAGCCTGATGGTGAGGTCCCCAAGGACACAGAAGGAGGCGTGTTCAACCTGGGGCCCTTCATAGCAGGTGAGTGAGGCAGAGCCTTAGCTCTGCTATGGAAATGGCAGGCGATGGTGGTTAAGAACTCTGGGGTCAGGAGGTTTGGGATCTGATTCAGACCCTGCTGCTCTGCTGGTGGTTGAACCTGGGGAGAACTGGACTGCTCTGAAGCTCTGGAGTCTGAGGACTGGTGCCTGTGTCTCCTTACCTGCCCGGAGCTGGCAGGCGGCACAGGGCCCAGTGTACAGAGGCGCTCAGGGAATGAGCTGCCATAGTTGTCATCATCCTTACCAATCATGGTGGAAAGACAGACGCAAGAGAAAGAAGTCCTGTAGGGCTTTACTATCCGAATAGACCTTTCTGCAGTGATGGAAACGCTTTGTATTTTCACTGCCCAATAAGGTAGCCACTAGCTCCGCGTGGCTACTGAGTACTTAGATGAGGTGAGTGCAAATAAGGAAGTGAGTTTTAAGATTTGATTTTAATCAGATAGAATTAAAACTGAATAGCCATAGAGGCTAATGGCTACATACCGGATAGTGCAGCCTTGAGGGGTTAAAGGGCAGTAAGCCAGTAACCACCAAGCACCTTGTACTCCAGAATCACTGAGTGGCCTTGGGGGAGTGGACTTCCCTCCTGGGCTTGTTCCCCCAACCAAATACTGAGGCTCTCTGAAGGGGCCTGGGGAGGCAGACTTTCCAGCCCCACCCTGATGGAAAGGAGAGAGAAGGAACATTTAAGTTTGTGCCAGAACGGCAGGACTTTCCCCACATCAACACCCCCTGGTGGTGGTGGCATGGGTGTGTTGGGCTTTGGCTCAGGGGAGAAGGTTACTCAGGTCTTGAGGGGGCAGGTAGAGGGTCTTCTTCCCATCCCTGACTAGGTTCCTGGGCCCCCAGATCTGATTGCCTTCATCGAAGGAAGCAGGCGCTCACCACGCTACACCCTCTGGTTCTGTGTGGGGCAGTCGTGGCCCCAGGACCAATCATGGATCAAGAGACTTGTAATGGTCAAGGTACTGCAGCGCTGGGCTCCGGGAACTGTGGGGTGGATCTTAAAAAGGCAGGAGGTTGCTCTTAGGAACTACAACTCCCACAAGCCCCTTAAAGAAACTGTAACTTCCAAGAGTCTCTGCAACCACCAGTTCCTTACCCTCAGGAGCTTCTGGGTGTCCCTCCCATGGCCTCACCCCCAGAGCCTATTTTGAGTTCGCCCAGCCATGTGGAAGTTGGTGGACTCCAAGTCCTGGCAGCCTCTGTGGGGTATTACAGCTCCGAGGAGTCCTGACCACAAGCTGCTCGGCCCTAGCTTCTGGGAACCCTTTAGCAGTGCCTGGGCCTAATGGTTTATCCTGGGGTATAGTGGGGGCTGCTGGGAGTTGTAGTCCACTCAGCACCACCCCGACAGCAAATGGTGTTGGCTGTTTCCCCTGACTCCCCTGTTTTCCCGCACCTCCTACAGGTTGTGCCCATGTGCCTCAGGGCCCTGCTAGATATGGCACGGGCAGGGGGTGCCTCCTCCCTGGAGAACACTGTGGACCTGCACATTTCCAACAGCCACCCGCTTTCCCTCACCTCAGACCAGTACAAGGCCTACCTCCAGGACCTGGTGGAGGACATGGACATGGACTTCTAGGTCACTGGGGAGGCCTAAGCCCTTGCCCTTTACATCAACCAATAAACTGGTTTTTGCCATGGTCATCACGTGTGTCTGGTGTTCAGTGTCCCTGGGCTAGCCCTGGCTCATGCAAGGGGGTTACTCCTTAAGGCCTCAGTTTACCCATCTGTGCAAGCCACCCACATCCTAGGTGCTCACTGCATAAGGGCCAGGCACTGTGCAAGGGACAGATGACACTCCTTACCTCTTCCCTGGGACATGATGAATAGGTGACAGTCACCCCAGTTTTATACAAGACACTGAGGCTTGAAGAGGAGCAAAGGTCACAAAGTAGAAAATATAGCCAGAATCTAGATCTGACTTGAGTGGCCGCTCTTTTGAGAGAGGCTTCCAGGCTGAATCTGGAACCTCCCTCTTGCCTATATACAGTTCAGGCCATGTGTCCAGTAAGCAGAGAGCCTTTTGCCTGACTGCTCTGTCTGTCAGGGACCTTGAGTCCCCTCCCAACTCCTGCTAGGTGACCTCAGGCAAGTTCTCCGTTCCAGGCCCTGGGCTCCCCTCTGCACGGGCCTGCAAAGAGCAGCTGTAAACAAGTCCAAAGCCCACTCCCCAACTGGAACCCACCCACCCCAGTGGCCTGGGCGCTCCCCCCCCACCCCACTGAGCCTGGGTTTTGGGTAATGGGGACTGATGGAGGCAGCACAGCCCTGACTCACTCTGTGGACCCTGCTGCTCTGTGCCTCAGTTTCCCTCTATCTCAGGGGAGTTGATTAGATCACCCAGCCTCACTGGTAAAAAGAAAGTCCAGCTCAATGGAGACAAAGATCCTGCTTCTGGGGCAATTCCAAGGTAGACAAATAGCATGTAGGTGCCCTGAGCTGGAAGACCCTGATTGGGTGGGGCCTGGGACCCCAACCTTCCAGCACCACCACGTTCTGTCAACAACGGCTGACTATGTACCAGGTGCAGTTCTAAGTGCTTCACCCACCCAAGTCTTATGAAATCCTCACAACACCCACTTTATAGACAAAGAAGCAGGCAAAAAGAGAGGCATGCACTTCCCCCAAGTCACACCGTCTGTCCTCTCCCTGCTCACCACCCTCAGACGTGGGCCAAGTCTCCTGCACGTCTCTCCCAAGCCCTTTCCCACATTGGACTCTGAAAAGAAAGGGCTAAAAATCATGGGGACTCAGGGATAACATTTCATGAAATCTTTAATGAAATTGGAGGAGGGGCACGAACGGGGGGGTGGGGGAAGGGGACAGGCTAGGGTTGAGGGAGATGGGACTGGGGCTGGGTAGGGGGCTCTCCTCATTCCCGCAGCAACCCTCCCCCAATCATCCCACTGTCGGGGGAGGGAATTAGGGAGGTGGAGCCATAAATATGTCCGGAATTTCAAAGAGGCGAAGGAGGAAAGGGGTGGCTGGGGAGCTCAGAGAGGGGGCAGGGGCAGGCCAGGGCCGCCCTTGTCAGGGGGCCCTGGCTCCTTGGGTGGCCGTGGGGGCCCAGGGGGGTCCCCAGGCTTGCGGCCGTGCTTGCGGAAGTAGCGGTAGCGTTGGACGTAGGCGCGCACCAGGTTGCTCACCTTCACCGGGTTGATCTCCCCACTTTTGCTGTGGCAGATCTGGGGGGTCAGGGGTAGCTGCTGTCACCACTGGCCCCCCCCCAGGGGCCCCTCCACCTGGACTGCTGTGCACAGTGGGGGACTGGGATGGAAATCGCTCCCCCAAGGCCCAGGCCAACTTCTCTACTTCTCCCAGCTGATGCCACAGGTCCAGGTGGGCTGGAGGAAATCCTGCCACACTCCTCATCTTCCAGACTGACCCACCACCCCTGTATGTCTGTCTGCACACGTCCATCGCTCCGTCCCCTTCTTCCCCCACTCTGTGCATCTGCCCTGCTCTGGGCCCCACCTTGTGGACGGCCTTCCTCAGGATATCCTTGTACTCCTCCTTGGTGATGTCCTTCTTCTGATAATACGGCTTGATGGCCAGCTTCACCTCCTCCACTGCCCGCTCCTGTGTGTGCAGCTTCTTCAGATACTGGTGGCAGTGGTGACAGGGTGGGAAGAAGGGAGAGCAAAGGCCAGATGAGTTCCTGCAGAACCCCTACCCCCACTCACCTGCCTGCCAGCTCAGACTTCTTGACCACCCAGCTACTACTGTAGGTTGAAGTCCTGCTTAGGGTCTGCCTTGTGCTCCCCTTGTTGCAGTCACCCCAGATCACAGGCCATGCCTGGGCCTCTGAATACCACCAGCATCTACTCCAGGCTGGAGCCCGGGCCATCGCAGTTATCCATAACCAGGACCCATGTGTCCTCTGCCCTTACACACTTCAGTCTGCTAGGCAGACAGACCTGAGCCCAGCAGCTGTTCCCTACTGTCCCAGCAAAGATGGGGATGCAGGACACCCTACACTTCAGGGCCAATGCCTCCCAGGAGATGAGACCGCAAACCGTCCGATGAGCTACTGCTTGCGGAGCTGCACTGCACCCCAGGAGGAATCTTCTGGCCTCCCTGGCCCCACAGGAAGTGTGTTTCTAAAGTGATGCGGCCAAGAGAAAGGGGTTGTACCCCACACCCATCGCCTGTGTGGCAGAGAACAGATCAGGGCAGCCTCACTGGAGGAACAAGGGACCTGCTGCTAGTCACAGAGCCCAGACTGTCCTGTCCTGCAGCCCACAAGTGCCACTGACAAGTGTCTGTCCAAGCTGCGTCCCGTCCATTTCTCTATATGGGGCTTAGAACTTGAGTTTATCTTGCTTTCCTTCTGGCACTGGACTTGGAGTGCATAAGGGGTGGGCAGCGCCATCACCTAGTGAGAGGTTACTGGACCACAGCGGACAGCATCCAGACCCAACCCAAAGGCAAACAGCCCCCAGGCCCAGGAGGAGGAGCCAGATTCAGTCATGGAACAAAAACCTGTTTGCCCCGCACTCATTCTTCTGCCCTTCGTCCATGATTTTCCTTTTGTAAACCACCCTCCCCATTACACAGAAAGACTGGGGTGCAGGGTAGAGATAGGTAACCAAGGGGCAGACTCAAGTGGGTATATGTGCAAATATGTGGGCATGTTCCTATCCACTTTATCTTCCTCCCCCGCACCGTCTCTACATGTCATCCTTTAAAAACCTGCCTAACACCCCTTTCCCAATTATTCAATCGAGTGAAAGTTTACTTCCTTGTTATCTAATGTCTTCAGTGTTATCTAAGCCCCCATCTGCCTACATTAGTCTCTGACATTCTCCTCGGGCCCCTGCATCTCAGTATCTGCCTGCATTCTCTGCAAAAGTGTCACCATCAACCCACCTCTCCCAAGCCCAGTTCACCTTGTCTGTGTCCCCACGTCCCTCGGAGCTGCTGCTGCCCTCTCTCTTGTCAGACGCCGCAGCCAGCCCGGTGGGGGTGGGAGGGGTAGAGCCACAGCCCCCCAGGGGGAGGCTGCCAGGGAGCAGGTAGCTGGAGGGGCCTGGGGGCAGACCCAGAGAGGTGGGTACAGGAGCTGGCGTCACCCCCAGACTTGAAGGTGGCTTCCTGTGGCTGAGGATCTGCAGGAAAAGTTTGGAGGATAAGCAAAGAGGAGTGGAGGAAGAGGGAGCAGGTACCCCTACTCCCACCCAAATCTCCCAACATTCCCAGAGGTAACAGGCTCCTCTTCTGGCCGATACCTTGCCCTAAAGCCTGCTGGGAGCTGAAGTTCCTCTCCTAACCCGAAGCAGGGGACAAGAGAAGGGGCTGCGGGGACTCTTCCCCAGGGGAGCCCACCTGGTTGGTGGCCTGGATCAGCTCCTGGGCCTTTGCTCGGCTTGCCAGATTGGCTTCTTCCATCTTGAAGAGAAGTGCGGTCACTGCAGGAGGTGGAGAGTCGACAACAAGGAGACGGGGAGCTGACCCCAGAGGAGAGGGTGAAACTTACCCCACGACGGGCTGCACCTCCCACCCGGGCCAGGGACGGGCCATAGGTCTCAGGCTCAGAACTGGGAAAGGGGCCCTTGGCCAGTGACAGAACCACCCCACATCCCATACATTGTTGGGACTCAAGGTGGAGGGAAGGGGATGTGTGCCCAAGGTCACACAGTGACAAATCAGTGTCAGAAGTGAGATTCTGTGTCCCTAATTCCCCCCTACCATCAGTCCTGGCCCCTCTCCCCACCTCTGCAGTCTAGCAGAGGATCTTGCCAGCCTCTAAGGGACACTGCTCCCTTTCCCCCCATTCTTTCCAGTCCCTCCCAGTCTACCTCCAGGTGGACCCCAAGACACACCCTACTCCTCCAATCTGTGCCGGACTGGCCGCCCCCTGCTCCCGTCTGCCCTGATCTCTTCCAGTGAGCCCAGACATCTTGGAATCTTCTGGACAGATCCAGATTGGCCCTACCAATCAGGACTGATGCACCTGTGGCCCTGGTCACTCTCCCATCCCTTCCAAGGTATCTTCACTGCCTCCAAGTCTGTCCCCATATGACCTTCTCCTCCCTGATCCTGTCTGCCTCAGCCCCCCCAGGGACACTCACAGGCCAGGACACCACTGGTAGTACAGTCCACACCAGCAGGCAGGTTCCAGGGCATGGGCGGGGGCAGTGTGGGCAGCTGGGAGACACGGGGAGCTGGCCCATCCTCCGCCCCTGAGTCACCAGCTGTGGACCCCGCACTCGGGGCCGTGCTGGGAGCGGCTGCAGCCGTGCTGGTGGCAGTGGTGGTGGCGGGCTGCTGTTCCTCCTCCTCCTCCTCTTCTTCCTCCTCCTCTTCTTCCTCTTCCTCCTCCTCCGCCCCACCTCGGACCCCAGCCTCCTCAGTGGCCTCCTCTGGCAGGAAGGAGACCTCGGGCGTCTTGCAGCTGCTATCCACAGTCTGTGAGTCCGGCGTGAGTGCCGGGGGTGGAGGGGCTGCCTTGGGGGGTGGGGTGCTCGGGGCCTTGGCTGCCCGCTCCTCCCCGGACCAGGAAGTCTCCTCAGCCCCCTTGGCTCCCGCAGCCTGGCTGCAGCTATCTGCCTTGGACTTCTTCAGTGTCACAGGGCCGCTGCTGCCCCCACTGTTGCCCCCACTGCGGAGCTTTTTCCTGGTCTTGGATGGCTTGGTCTTTCCCTTGGTCCCCTTGGCTTTCTTGGCCCCAGCCTTGGCCTTCACCTTGGTCTTTTTGGGTTTGGTGCTGCCCTGAGCTGCTTTGGCCACCTCAGCAGGGGCCCGCTCGTCTGGCTTGAGGAAGGGGGAGCGGCTCTCTCGGTCTCGGCTGAACTTGACTCCGATGGAGCCCAAGCTGGCAGACGTGGCCTCCTTGGCCGGTGTGGTGCTGCTGACGCCTTCTCGGATCAGCACCGCCACCTTGGACTGCAGTTTCACCTTCCGGGAGGAAGAGGAGGATGAGGAGGATGAGGAACCTGAGCCACTGCTGATGGGTGGCTTTGGCGGGGGCCCTGAGGAGGGCGCCAACTCCTTGGGGGCCGGGCCTTCTTGGATGACCTGTCCCTGTCCCTATCTCTGTCCCTGTCTCTGTCCCGATCCCCACCATCCAGCGCCTTCCGCCGGGATCCCTTCTCCCGGGAGGAAGAGGAGGAGGAGGCAGCCCCAGAGCGGCGCCGGTCCTTCTCACTGCTCTTGCCACCCCGCTCCTCGGCGCTCAGTCCCTCCGAGTCGTACAGGACCTCGCGCTTAGGCGACGAGGTGGGGGCCGGTGAGGGGCCTCGGGGGTCAGGCTTGTCCGGCCGGCCCACGGTGATGGTCCGCTTGATGGCGAAGAGATCGTGGTCCGTGAGGTCCTGGATGGAGGGCGGCACGGCTCCACGGCGGCGGCTGTCGCGTTCTCCGCCCAAGGAGGTGGAACCGGAGGGTGGTGGGGCTGGGGCAGGGGCCTTCTCACTGTCCCCAGTCCGCTTCTCACCCCGGGACCGCGACCGCTTTTTCTTCTTCTTGCTGCCGCCACCATCCCGGTGCTTGCCGCGGTGCCGCTCGCGCCTGGAGGACGACGACGAGGAGGTGGCTGGGGGCGGGGAAGCCGAGCGCCGCCGTCGCCG